CTCTGTGCATTTCTTAGTTCTTCTAAATCTGAATTAATTTCTTTAATTTGTATGTTTCTAATAACTGCATTAGATAGTCCAAAATCATAATCAATGTTTTCTTTCCTGCAAGCCTCATTGGCCAATTGATCTACAAAGTCATGTTTTTCAACTCCAACATGGGATGGGATCCACACAAATTTTATACAAGAATTATTATCATTGGCAAAAATTACATTCCATTTAATATTACAAGCTACTTCCGACATACATTGTGATGGGTTATTTAAGGACTGCAGAGCACTTTTAGAGTCACAGAAAATAACTCCACCACCATTGAGCTTAAGGTATTCAGTGGCTAGATAAATACCCAATAGCTCGGTCTGTGTCGTGCTTGCCCAGTTGTTCAATCTCTGTGTACTAGTCATGATCATTTCATTCCCTTTATACACTGCACATGCACAACCTGTTCTACCAGTGCCTAACTGCACAGAGCCATCAGTAAAGGCATAGGATTCAGTCGGTTTGAGAATTTGAAGATGACTGTCAATAGCTTCTAATGTTATACATCTCAAAATGTCAGTGTTATACATTTGTTTTACACTGATGGGAGTATAATGCAGAGAGACCTCCACATCTTTCCAAGGGGGAATATAGTGAACAGTTTTATCAGGGTTAAGAGATACATTCAGTTTCTGAAGATTATAGACACAACAACTGAGCCACACACTGTAGGGAGCTTTTTGCGGCGGATTGAGGGAACAGTCAGAATTGTTTAGAATGGATCTCAATTTAATTTGAATAGAGCTGGGGGGACCATTATTTTTCAAAGTTTTGGCGCAAAACATAGTACTAAGTAGAACTATTCTTTCGTAAATGGAAGGTAAGTTTAGTTCCTTTCTCATGTTAACAATTCTGACAGTTCTAGGACAACCCAGGATGATGCGCATGGCATCATTCTGTACTACATCTAGGCCTTGTAATTGTTTAGGAGAAAAATTAAGAAGATGCAAGGCATAATAATCAACAACAGATCGTATAAAGGCAATATAAAAACTACGAGCATATTTTATGTTAATGCCAAATCCTTTGCCAACAAGAGTTCTGAGAGGTTTAAGACGCTCAACAAGTTTTTTACGCAGGTTGCTGATGGTAAACAGACCGACATTCTCGTGGCGGCAGTTTATCGAAGTTTCCCCCGTGTTTTGCTCGCCAAGGGGGGGGGGGGATACCCCACACACCAGGGGAGAGGTATACCACACCGTATACCCCCTCACCAGGTATACACACACAACACACACACTGCCTGTCTAGGTCACCTTTCAGTTTACATAACGACCCCCCCCCCCCTCCACCTCCGACAGTACTAAGGACACGAAAACGTTAATACTATATTACACAACTTTAATTCTTACTAATAAGTCGCAGGTTTAAGGGTTTAACGGTCGCAGGTTAAAGTGTCGATTCCCAACATAATGTGGCGTACTGGACGACAGACACCGGGGGGGGGGGGGGGGGGGGCGACAAGACACATACAGTTGAACAAGAGAGGACAGCGATAGTGATATGTATGGGAAAGTGTTTAAATACTCAGCACAAGAGATGAAGCTGGAGTAATACTAAGGTATTCAGCGACGGGTTAGAGGAAACACACACACACACAGAGGAATCTTTCAGAACATTATATACCACATATGTCAGACCAATCCTGGAGTATGCGGCTCCAGCATCATTGAGTCCATATCTAGTCAAGCATAAGACTAAACTGGAAAAGGTTCAAAGGTTTGCCACCAGACTAGTACCCGAGCTGAGAGGTATGAGCTACGAGGAGAGACTACGGGAATTAAACCTCACTTCGTTGGAAGACAAGAGTTAGGGGGGACATGATCACCACATTCAAGATTCTCAAGGGAATAGACAGGGTTGATAAAGACAGGCTATTTAAGACAAGGGGCACACGCACTAGGGGACACAGGTGGAAACTGAGTGCCCAAATGAGCCACAGAGATATTAGAAAGAACTTTTTTAGTGTCAGAGTGGTTGACAGATGGAATGCATTAGGAAGCAATGTGGTGGAGGCTGACTCCATACACAGTTTCAAGTGTAGATATGATAGAGCCCAGTAGGCTCAGGAACCTGTACACCTGTTGATTGACAGTTGAGAGGCGGGACCAAAGAGCCAAAGCTCAACCCCCGCAAGCACAATTAGGCGAGTACAGTTAGGCGAGTACACACAGATCCAAATATCAAAGCAAAGAGGTTAAGTACCCACACCTAGTTGTGCTTGCGGGGGGGGGGGTGATCTTCGGCTCCTTGTTCTCTACTGGTGAACAGGTTCCTGAGCTTACTGAACTCTCATATATACATTTAAGTGACACACACTGTATAACAACTATACACACACACTTGGAAAAACACTAAATCCCCCTTAAAAAAAAATATGAAATGGCGAATTTTTTTTCTTCATGGGAAAGATCCACTACCCTCCTCCGGTCTCCAGCCACCACCGGTGGTACTACCGTCCCCACTGGGCAAGTACACGACCATCAATCACCTTAACAGCACAACATAGCACAGCGTGTGGGGCCCCCGGGGGCTCCCAGCAGCCCCGGGGCCCCCAGCAGCACCCGGGGCTCCCAGCAGCCCGGGATCACAGGCAGGAGGGGACCCAGGCGACGCACCGTCAATACTCCTGGTGGTCGCGCGGGAAACCATCACATACAAGGATCAAAGAGCTAAACATCGTCCCGCCCTCTCTAAACTTCTTCCAGTCCGCTCCTCCGTAACTATTATCAAACCTAAAATACGACGCAAAATACTTGTTATTACGCTGCACTAATTACAATATATTCTGGTAAATACCCTATAATGATTGCGTATTTTTCCAAGTGTGAAAAAATAGAGCATAATCAGAAATATGCGATTCTGTTCGGGGCATGAGTGTGTTCAGTGTAAGTAAGGCTTTAAGGACAAGAGTTTTATGTATATTGTGGCCATAGTGGACCATACAGGCGCCTGCTGCCCCGCTACCAGACGTACAACGTTTCATTGACATAAATGGCAACGAGAATCATTAGTCCAAGTGTTCAATAGTCGTCCTTTGTATATACGTTGCTTAGTCGTGTTTCAGCTCCTGTGTCCAGCCTCACTGTCACTCTTCTAGTGACCACATTCCTTATTGTGACACTATGGATGAATCTCTCTCCTGCTCAAGAACGTTTATTGAGACAATAAAATACATCTCAAAGTAGCTTAGGTTAGCTGTTTTCTATAACTAGACTGTTTTCTAAAAGAAGTGCCGGATCAACCGGGCTGTGGTGGGTATGTGGGCCTGCGGGCCGCTCCAAGCAACAGCCTGGTGGACCAAACTCTCACAAGTCAAGCCTGGCCTCGGGCCGGGCTTGGGGAGTAGAAGAACTCCCAGAACCCCATCAAGGTGGTGTATATCTACCTCTCTGCCAACCTCTCCTGGCTCCGGTATTGTGTGATGAAGAAAACCCCACAGCTTAGAAGATGCAGAAGCGGCGACGTTCCGCTGCGTCCTGGTCCATAAACAAGTCGTGTCCTTATAGTCAATACGACTTCAATACGACTCCGTCCAGGACGGAGAGAAACGGATTAATGTATGATGACTTACTGTAAATATGTAGCTCTTGAAATAGCATTTTCTCTGTAACTAGCTGACATTGTAACTAAGGTGTGAAGGATAGATGAAATTGTTTATGAAATAATCTAAGATGAGGTCTGATAAAGACCTTTTGTGCCCTCTGTAATGCTTTTGCGCTACCGCTCACAGGATGAGTATGGGGTGCACAATAAACTAGCCGCTTTCGGCGGCAACAATAAAAAAAACCGCTGTGGGTATTAGTGGCTTTCGGCATAGTACATAGGATCGGTGGTTATCTTGAGATGATTTCGGGGCTTTTTAGTGTCCCCGCGGCCCGGTCCTCGACCAGGCCTCCACCCCCAGGAAGCAGCCCGTGACAGCTGACTAACTCCCAGGTACCTATTGGGACTCTAGGTGGGACTCTAGAAATCCAACATTCAGATTGTAACTAATTTTGTATGTACTTTTACCTAAATAATGAATTAATGAAAAAAGAAACGTCGTCGCTTGTCCATCTTCTGAGTTGTGGTTTAGTGATCACATCTTGAGCCACGTTATTGTGACTCATCGTCTGCATGAGGTACTGTATGCCTCTTGGGCACACACTCCACTACTCCTTCCTCGCATACATTTGTGTTGAGGGTGTAGGAGGGAAGGGGAGGGGAGATGTGTAGGAGGGGAAGAGGAAGGAGGAGAGGGCAGTGGGACAGAAGGGAAGGAGTCGGCTTGTGTGAAAGTTGACCTTATTTATGACTTGTCACTGACCATTTACCTTCCACTGCCTCTTTCTCGCGTGTTACCCTCTCTCTCTCTCTTTCCCTCTTGCTTACCCTTCCCTCCTACTTTCCTATATTTATCTCCCGCTTCCCGATCTTTCCCTTCTCCATGTCCGTCCGTTCGTCAGTCTCTGAGTTAATCCCCTGGTCGCCTCTGGAGTCTTCAGACTCTTGGCACATAAGGCTTCACCACCCCTTACAAGACCTCCTGTTCACCCTCCTCTCCCACCACATCCAATCCTCCATCCCCCCCTCATGTAGGTTGCGTCTTGTTTACCCTTACGTCATACACTCTTTTTTCCTGCCTCTCACGACGTATCCAATCCCCTTCTCCACCCCTCCCTCATATGGTATTTAATTCTCTTACCTCTCCTCCCTTGGCATACAATCTTCTTAAACCGTCTTCACCCCCCGTCCTCGTAGAGCCTGATCCCCTGTCGCTTAAGCTTTCCTGATCCCCTACACCCATTGTTCCACCAGTCACCACCCCACTGTGGCTGCACGAGGCTGACTCTGCTGCTGCTCTGCCCATTCTCGGCGCTCCAGGCTGCCTATATCCACCGCTGACGCTCCTCAAGTGGCGAATTAAGATGCGATCGCCTGACGCGAGGCTAAATTGGTGCTTTTACCTTGCGGAAATGAGACGGGCGGAGGAGAGACGGGAGGTGGGAAAGGACGCGTGGGAAGGACGACGGGCAAGAGGGAAAAATGGCAGATATAATACATGTAGGCTGAAGACACGGGGTGTGTGGGGGGGGGGGAAGAGTTGTGGGCACCTTACTTTGAGGTTACCTTGAGGTGCTTCCGGGGCTTAGCGTCCCCCGGCCCGGTCGTCGACCAGGCCTCCTAGTTGCTGGACTGATCAACCAGGCTGTTGGACGCGACTGCTCGCAGCCTGACGTACGAGTCACAGCCTGGTTGATCAGGTATCAGGTAGGAACTTCCGTGTGTAGGAACCCAAGACGCGGACAGATAGGCAGGACTGCTTTTACGAGGACCGTGTAAAATGCGGATAATAAGAGTTTTATAGCTCGTGGTGGAAGACCGTGAACCACCTCCACCTGCTTGATGGGGTTCTGGGAGTTTTTGTTCTCCCTAAGCCCGGCTCGAGGCCAGGCTCGACTTTGTGTTCGGTCCACTAAGCTGTTGCTTGCAGCAGCCAGCAGGCCCACATACCCATCACACCTATTTTAACCTAACCTATCCTAGTGTGGGCAGGGCCTCTGCTGAACACGACTCCCGTGGGCAGGAACAAGCACTTTGATGAACTGCACGATTGGCTGTTAGACCAACTAAGCTAGCGGTCGTTTAGGTCAAACGACCTAAACTGGTCGTTAATTGACATAACCAGAACAGCAATCTTGTTAGGCTTGTAGGTCTAATAGCCCAACGTCTTGCCTCTCCCAGGATGCAAACCACAATAGCCACCTAACTCCCAGGTTCCATCATCCACTGGCAATCTACCAAAAGTTTTAAGTTAGGAGAGGCAGAATCAAGTTAGTTCCAGTTTAATTAAGTTTCATTCAATGCGGAAACGAAAGACTATAGTTTGGAAGTTAACCGGACAAAATGAGAGGCGAGAGCAACCACCTCCCCGCCCCCTCCTGCGCCAGGACGGTCACAACCCTAGTTGGGAGCCGGTCGGCCGAGCGGACAGCACGCTGGACTTGTGATCATGTGGTCCCGGGTTCGATTCCGGACGCCGGCGAGAAACAATGGGCAGAGTTTCTTTCACCCTATGCCCCTGTTACCTAGCAGTAAATAGGTACCTGGGTGTTAGTCAGCTGTCACAGGCTGCTTCCTGGGGGTGGAGGCCTGGTCGAGGACACCAAAAAGCCCCGAAATCATCTCAAGATAACCTCAAGATAACCCTGTACAGTCACGATCGTGACGTCAGTGCCTTGTTCACGCCATGTATAAAACACAATTTCAGTCTCATTTCTCGTTTAGTTTATTTAAAGTAGCGATGACAGAGGTTTATACATACTTGTCAGGTCTTAAACCCCCACTTTCCCCCAGCGCTGGAGCTTAGTAATTCCGTCAATGAGTGGTGTGTTGGCGAGCATAGCCACATAATCCATCCAATGTTTGCGGGTGGTGGCCGCCTGGACGCCAGCCTCCCTGTGACTAACCAGCTTGGGAGACTGCCAGCGGAGAACATGCAACCCATTGTATAGTTCTGTAAAGGAACACATGTGTTTATTTTCACTCAGAATGGTCCGTAATATGCTTATGGTTTGAGAGATAATATAATATAATATAAATATATATATATATACATTATATATATATTATTTAAAACTCACACCCCAGGACTAGTTGCATATAGTCCTGGGGACCATTCAGGCTTGTTCGCATATTATATATGCATATTATATATATATATTTTATATTATATATATATTTTATATTATATATATTATATATATATATAAAATTATTCACCATCCCGCCTCCCCCCCCCCCCGCAAAAAGGCTTGTTGCAAGTTATGATAAGTTATACCCGACAGTGTGGCCAACTTGGGTTACAAGGCTTGTTGCAAGTTATGATAAGTTATACCCGACAGTGTGGCCAACTTGGGTTACAAGAGCATGGCTAACTTGAGAGCCCCAGTCTGAAGCCCCAAAACTTGTAAACAAACCAAATCTTTCACAGCGTCCCAACATTCATTCTTAACTTCAAGACCAAACTACGAGAAAGAAAAAGCAGTCATACAATTTAAAATGAAAGCATTTTGTGTCTTACAAACAACAGTAGACTTTGTATAGAAACAAAGTCCGTTTTTCATCTCTAACAATATACAACATTCCGCCGGTTAATACTCAAATAATGATTTCGGGGCTTAGCATCACCGCGGCCCGGTCGTCGACCAGGCCTCCTGGTTGCTGGACTGGTCGACCAGGCTGTTATACGTCAGGCTACGAGCAGCCGCGTCCGAGTCAAAGCCTGGTTGATCAGGTATCCTTTGGAGGTATTTGTCAAGTTCTCTCTTGAACACTGTGAGGGGTCGGCCAGTTATGTGTAGTGGCAGCGTGTTGAACAGTCTCGGGCCTCTGATGTTTATAGTTCTCTCTCAGAGTACCTGTTGCACCTCTGCTTTTCACATCCTGCCATGCCTTCTGGTCTCTTATGATGTAATCTCCGTGTTCAAATTTAGAACCAGCCCCTCTTAATATCTTCTACACGTAGATTAGGTATCTTTCTCCTGCGCCCTAGAGAATACAGATTTAGAACTTTTAATCTATCTCAATAATCAAGACGACTTATAGAGTGGATTCTAGCAGTAAAGGATCTTTGCACACACAATTTCAGATCTCTTATGTTTGGTCAGCAATTTCTTCGGCTCTGAATAGGGCTGTTAGAGTGCAACATTATTCCACCCTAGAGAGCACTAGTGTCTTGAAAGTATCATTTGTATGGCATCCCTTATTTGGAAGGTTCTTGTTGTCCAACCTGTCATTTTTCTTGCAGTCGTGACTTTATTGTGTTCTGTAAAGGTAAGGTCTTCCGACATGATTACTCCTAGATCCTTTACATTGCTCTTTCGTTCTATAGTGATATTTGACTTTTATATATGGTTTCCGTTTTATATTTGCGTTTTTTTCCATAGCGCAGGAGCTGGAACTTACTTTCATTAATCATTATCTGTAGCCCATTGAAAGACCCGATTTACATCCGATTGGAGGTTGGCCGTGTCCTCTATATTGTCCACTCGCATGAAAATCCTAGTGTCATCTGAAAACTATGACAGTCCTGTAGTTTGCATCCTTGTCTGTGTCTGATATTAGGATGAGAAAAGCGAGATGAGGTGAAGTCAAATGAGATGAGGTGAAGTCAAATGAGATGAGGTGAAGTGGGGCGAGAGGTGATAGTGAGACATTAGGAACAGAGTCGTACGTACGTGTTCGTGCGTGCGTGCGCGCCAACAATGTACCCAGGATATCAGGACTTGCGCTGGCTATCTTCCTGGGTCCGCAGAGTCACACGCCGCCCACAGCCTCACCCACGTCACACCGCCCACTGTACCTTATCTTGGTGGTGTTCTGGGAGTTCATCTACTCCACAAGCACGGCCCGAGGCCAGGCTCGACTTTTGAGAGCATGGTCCAACAGGCTGTTGCTTGGAGCGGCCCGCAGGCCCACACATCCACTACAGCCCGGTTGGTCCGGCACTTCTTGCCCGAAACTGAAATTTTTGCCTTTAAGACTTCCACTTTGGTTCCGGCAATATTGTCTATATTTGCTGGGAGGATACTGAACAACCGTGGACCTCTGATGTTCAGTGTTCTCTGATTGCGCCTATGGCACCAATACTATTCACTGGTTCTATTCTGCATTTCCTGCCATATCCATTCGCTCCAGCAGGTAATTTTGCTGTACCACCCATGTACACACCACTCCCGCCACTAACCCCCCCACACCACAACCCACACCCCATCCCTCCTCACACAACCCATTCCCATCGTTTCCTATTAAGAGCATTGTTGGCGTTCTCGAGTCTTCTCCAGAGGCTTAAACTGTAGAAGTTGAACACTTAAGAGAGTTCATTCCCCCACTCGTTACTTCAGCCAAGCACTTTAATTACTACAGTCCAGATACTCTCCACGCTCTCGCTGCTTCCCCCTCCCAAATATCATCCAGATATGTACCTTTAATACATATTGTGTTTAGTTCCTATGTATGCAGGCGATGAGTCACAATAACGTGGCTGAAGTATGTTGACCAGACCACACACTAGAAGTTGAAGGGACGACGACGTTTCGGTCCGTCCTGGACCATTCTCAAGTCGATTGTTCCTATGTAGAAGAACTACACAGTGAGCAACGCTGCCGAAACTTTGCCACACGAAACACTGACAAACTTAAAATTATTGATCAATCAGGTTATTGGTACAAGCTGCCGGACGGGGAAAGGGCACTAGAGGGCCTTGGGCTCTTATGTTCATAGACTCATCCTTCAGTCTTATTGCTCCACTACATAGAATTCCTGTCGCTGTTCACAGTGATTGTTACAACCCGCAGAGGCTAGTTAATTGTGCACGACTCTATACTCATCCTGTAAGTGGTAATTGTGCACCCCATACTCATCCTGTGAGCGGTGGTTTGTTGTGCACCCCATACTCATCCTGTGAGCGGTAGTTGTGCACCCCATACTCATCCTGTGAGCGGTGGTTGTGCACCCCATACTCATCCCGTGAGCGGTAGTTGTGCACCCCATACTCATCCCGTGAGGGGTAGTTGTGCACCCCATACTCATCCTGTGAGGGGTAGTTTATTGTTCACCCCATACCCATCCTTTAGCTGGTAGCGCACAGGGTTAAGACACAAAAAAGTACAGTATTATTCAGATCTGGTATAAATGCAGTTTGATCTTAACTTTTATATGTTAAGATCAAATATTTTTTTTTAAATTTTTTTTATTTTTTTAAAATGTTATATTTTAACTTAATATGTCTCGTCTTGCTGTTAATTACAATAATAGGTCGTGACAGCGCTTCTTACACTCTTATCTTCTGCGTCTGATAACATTACACATTTGGAGGCAAACCACTTTATATAATTTTCAATATTGGATATAATACGAGAGAGAATGTTTGTCTTGGGGGCTATTGATAGATTGAGGGTGTCAGCGCGGGGTGGAACATGAAACAATGTCTACCTTGATTGTTGTTGTTACAGCACCGCTCCTGTGCCAGGTAAGTCCACTATGGGCTCACCATAGCCCGTGCTACTTGCCCCGCTCCTGTGCCAGGTAAGTCCACTACGGGCTCACCATAGCCCGTGCTACTTGCCCCGCTCCTGTGCCAGGTAAGTCCACTACGGGCTCACCATAGCCCGTGCTACTTGCCCCGCTCCTGTGCCAGGTAAGTCCACTACGGGCTCACCATAGCCCGTGCTACTTGCCCCGCTCCTGTGCCAGGTAAGTCCACTACGGGCTCACCATAGCCCGTGCTACTTGCCCCGCTCCTGTGCCAGGTAAGTCCACTACGGGCTCACCATAGCCCGTGCTACTTGTCCCGCTCCTGTGCCATGGTTTAACAATTTTCCTATCATTCTATTCCAGCATAGTTGAGGTAGTTTATAGTGGAAAAGTTTGTGGCGTTGTGTACCTTGACTTAAGCAAAACTTTTGAAGCAGACACACATGAAAGATTGATCAAAAAGATAAGAACCCCACGGTATTAAGGATGCGCAAATTACCACACAAGACAAGTAGGATCCCTCGATTGTTTCAAGCGTAGGTAAGACATACGAATGATATTGGGTGGATATAAATAGGATACCTGCTTGATGGGGTTCTAGGAGTAGTTCTACTCCCCAAGGCCGGCCCGAGGCCAGGCTCAACTTTTGAGTTTGGTCCACCAGGCTATTGCTTGGAGCGGACCGCAGGCCCACATACCCACCACAGCCCGGTTGATCCGGAATTTCTTAGAAAACAGTCCAGCTCTTTAAGATGTCCACGGTTGTTCCGGCAATATTTCTTATAATATATAGGAGCCGCCTCGTATGGGCCAATAGGCCTTCAGTTACCTTCATTCGTATGTTCTGTCTGTACGAAGTTGAAGGTCAGACGCCTCGGGCCAGCTTCACCCAAATTGACAGTGGGAATGGTCTGGGGTCTGGGATCAACATAGGCTGGTCGGCTTTGCCATAATTCAAAAGGGAACAGCGTGCCAGGGTTACATTCAGACCCCCACGACGATTTTTGGCACTGCCAAAAATGGCTGCACGGCTATATTTTGAAACAGTAATATACATCATTATTCACTGATCTCGGGAAAATTAAAAAAATTCCTGCTATCCAAATTTTGGCCGTATTCGCATAAAACAAATTATCCTCCAACTGCTTCTAAAGTTAGGGTGGATAAATGGATACAGACGGATGGATGGATCCATAGATGGAATAGACGAGTGGATAGATGGAGAGAGTTTATCAGATATCTCGATAAATGGACAGATAGGATACATGAATAAAGATGGATAAATAGATTAACCGATATGCTGGAGGAATAGACGGAGGAATAAATGGGGAAATGGATGGATACAGAGAAGGATAGATGGACAAATGGGGAGCTGATAGACCCCGGACAACGACACATCCCCCTCCCCCCCCCACCTAACTGGATACAACAAGGTAATAAAAGTCGTGAGGCTTTAGGCTACACAGCTTATAATATTATTACATATTCCTTTATACACCAGAAGCTAACTATACATTGCACCGCAAAAATTTCAGATATTTTACAATTAATTGCAATTTCATGCAACACCAGAAAATTTATCTCTAAACGCCTCTATTTTTACACTAGGTTTAATGATTTAGTGTTAAGGGGGTTGCATGGTAGACAGGCAAATCGAAGCTCCATGGAACTAGAGCACCACTTAGGTAAATTGATTTGAAGAACTTCTAAAAGAACTTTGAAGGCCAGTTTCTGAACTCGTGTGACTACAACATTTTTGTTACTCAAATTATGAGCATGGGGTCCACAATAAGCTAATTACTGTAAAGGTACTCACAGGATGAGTGACTGCCCAATACACTCGCCCTCCGAGGCAAAATTAAAGATAAAAAATAGTGTAAAAGAGGCCACCGCCGCACATCAACGGTGTGGGCAGCAGCAGTAGCAGCACCAGCAAAAGCAGCACCAGCAGAAGCAGCACCAGCAGAAGCAGCATCAGTAGCAAAAGCAGTAGGAAAAACAGCAGCATCAGCAGCAGCACCAGCAGAAGCAGCACCAGCAGAAGCAGCATCAGTAGCAAAAGCAGTAGGAAAAACAGCAGCATCACCAGCAGAAGCAGCACCAGCAGAAGCAGCATCAGTAGCAAAAGCAGTAGGAAAAACAGCAGCATCAGCACCAGCAGCAAAAGCAGCAGCAGTAGGAAAAGCAGTAGGAAAAACAGCAGCACCAGCAGAAGCAAAAGCAGCAGAAACAGCGGAAACCTCTCAAGGTGTGCCATCAGCCAGCCGCCTAGCCTAGTGACTGCCCATCACTGAAAACGGGGGCTGGTTTGGTGTTGGTTTAAAAGCTTATCAACCTTTGGGAGAGTTGGTTATCAAGGCGACCATAATAACAAGTAACCTTATAACCTTGAAACACAGTTCAGGACAAAAGTATACTCTCAGTGTGTGTGTGTGTGTGTGTGTGTGTGTGTGTATGTATATATATACACACCGACAACCTGGGTACACCTCCCAATATAAATATATATATATAAATATATATATATATATATTATGGCTATAGGCTCAGGGCTAGTTCTTTATGCCCCACCCACTCACTACCCAGTTGTACCTAGTACACTTTTTTGTACAAATGTGTAGCTTACACCTCGGCACACATTTACTAAAATAAAATTTACCACTTAGGGCTATTCGTGCCCGTGCCACCTCTTTGGTGGCTCAATCTTCATCAATCAATCTCGTACAGCTTCCGTCTCCACTCCTTCACCGTCATCTTGCCTTCTAAATGTACCCAAGAAACTCAAAACATTGCAGGCGATGGAGTCACAATAACGTGGCTAAAGTAAGTTGACCAGACCACACACTAGAAGGTGAAGGGACGACGACGTTTCGGTCCGTCCTGGACCATTCTCAAGTCGATTGTGAATGGTCTAGGACGGAATGTGAATGTCCACAATCGACTTGAGAATGGTCCAGGACGGACCGAAACGTCGTCGTCCCTTCTAGTGTGTGGTCTGGTCAAATTCAAAACATTATACCGCCTATAATTTCAGAATAATATATAATTTAAAAAAGACATTTCAAAATATGTTTATCCAAACAATACTATACACAACTAAATGTTATATTTAGGAAACAAGCCTAAACTAAAAGGTTATATTTCCCATGACAAGTGTCAAAACCCTTCCCTCGTGGGAACGGTCAGTAGTGGTTGGACACATACAACGCTTGTGGCCAATTTTGGCTGTCAAACGGGATATCAAATTACGCACCGCGCACATCCTCGTGGGGCCACACAGCCACCACACAAATATTAAGTTAGAAACACTCGTGTATTAACAAAAAATCACTATTCTTAAAGCAATAATATTACTCAACATCAACAGGTTTCCTCAAGCATAGGCTCTGAGTGGCCAAGACAATAATTGTATAGACAAGGCATACAACCCGGATTGGCTATCCCCCCCCCCACTCCAAATATTAATAAGAAAACTGACCTAGGAACAAAAGGACACGATATAAACCCCCATTTAAACAAACATATTTACAACATAAACCCTCTTATATTAAAACGAGGAATGTAATTTTTGGGTCAACACATTAGGCTATGCAGTACCAAGGAAAAATCATTACCAGTGATAAAGTACATAACACTATCAGGTACACCAAGATAAGCTGACTGAAGGTCCAGTAAACCAGGATGAACTGGAAGTCTCGCGTGTAACTAGCTGACATTGTAATTATAAAGTGTGAAGGATAGATGAAATTGTTGATGTAATAATCTAAGTTGAGGTCTGATAAAGACCTTTTGTGCCCTGTGTAATGCTTTTTGCGCTACCGCTCACAGGATGAGTATGGGGTGCACAATAAACTAGGAGGTAATAAATCGACATTCTCGCGTGACTAAAACACCCACAAACAAACGTTGATGTCAACCTTACCTTGAGGTGTTTTCGGGGCTTAGCGTCCTCGCGGCCCGGTCGTTGACCAGGCCTTGTTGCTGGACTGGTCAACCAGGCTGTTGGACGCGGCTGCTCGCAGCCTGACGTACGAGTCACAGCCTGATTGATCAGGTATCCTTTGGAGGTGCTTATTCAGTTCTCTCTTGAACACTGTGAGGGGTCGGCCAGTTATGCCCCTTATGTGTAGTGGAAGCGTGTTGAACAGTCTCGGGCCTCTGATGTTGATAGTTCTCTCTCAGAGTACCTGTTGCACCTCTGCTTTTCAACGGGGGTATTCTGCACATCCTGCCATGCCTTCTGGTCTCATGTGGTGCTTCTGTGCGCAGGTTTGGGACCAGCCCCTCTACTATTTGCCACGTAAATTATTATGTATATCTCCCGCCTGCGCTCAAGAGAATACAGATTTAGGCTCTTTAGTCGGTCCCAATAGTTTAGATGTTTTACTGAGTGGATTCTAGCAGGTAGAGGATCTCTGCACGCTCTCCAGGTCAGCAATTTCTCCAGCTTTGAAAGGTGCTGTCATTGTGCAGCAGTACTCCACTCTTAGAGAGCACAAGCGTTTTGAAAAGTATCATTGGTATAGCATCTCTAGTGTGAAAGTTTCTTGTTATCCAACCTGTCATTTTTCTTGCAGTTGTGACGGCTACTTTATTGTGTTCTTTAAAAAGGTAAGGTCTTCCGACATGAGTACTCCCAAATCCTTTACATTGCTTTTTCGTTCGATGTTATAATTTGATCGAGTTTTGTATGTGGTTTCCGTTTTCATAGTTTATTTTTTTTCCGTAGCGTGTGAACTCTAACTTATCTTCGTTAAACACCATACTTTCTGTAGCCCATTAAAGACCTTATTTACATTTGATTGGAGGTTTGCCGTGTCCTCTATGTTATCTACTCTCATAAAAATCCTAGTGTCATCTGCAAAGGATGATACAGTACTATAGATTGTGTCCTTGTCATGTGCGATATGAAGATGAGAAAAAGTACTGGAGCAAGCACAGTACCCTGGGGGACTGAGCACTTCACGGTTGATGGTCCGGAGTTGATTTTGTTAACCATTACACATTGGGTTCTATTAGTCAGGAAATTTTAGATCCATCTGCCTATTTTTCTGGTAATTCCTTTTAGACACATTTTGTGTGCAATAACACCATGGTCGCATTTGTCGAAGGCTTTTGCGAAATCTAAATTACATCAGCGTTTTGTTTGTCTTCCATAGCATCTAATGCCATATCATAGTGGTCCAGCAACTGTGACAGGCAAGAGCGCCCGGTTCTGAACCCGTGTTGTCCGGGGTTATGGAGATGCTGGGATTCCATGTATTTTGTGATCTCTCAAAGATTTTTATGATGTGTGATGTCACTGTTGAAAAACGAAAAAAAAAAAAATCTGCAACAGTTTAAACAAAGAAGTCACCAAAATACTCTCTGGCGGCGTCTCGACCCTAGCCTGTCCCCGGCCTCGGCTTCAATCAATAGCAGCCTTTGGCGGGAGAGAAGAAAAGCGAGTGAAGGCATTCAGACGTTGTGTCTTTGTTGCAATACCCCCACGCTTGACGGCGCCTGCTGATACTCACCCTCCCTTGACGGCGTGGGGGGTGATACTCACCCTCCCTTGACGGTGTGGGGGGGGGGGATACTCACCCTCCCTTGACGGCGTGGGGGGTGGGTGATACTCACCCTCCCTTGACGGCGTGGGGGTGATACTCATCCTCCCTTGACGGTGTGGGTGGGGGGGGGGGTGATACTCACCCTCCTTTGACGGCATGGGGGGTGATACTCATCCTCCCTTGACGGTGTGGGTGGGGGGGGGGGGGATACTCACCCTCCTTTGACGGCATGGGGGGTGATACTCATCCTCCCTTAACGGCATGGGGGTGATACCCCCCCTTCCACCATGATGGCGCAGCATGTACCCCGCACCCCACAGCGCAACACTACTCCCCCCAGCCTAGCTGGTGCACCTTGCAGAGTATCAGGAAAACTCTGATGTAAATACATTTATATATGCATGTATCAGAGCAAGCATCTATGCATATTCACAGGTGCTGAATTACTCTTGAAAAAAATATTATAGAAAAAAACAGCATACGCACAGGTCTTCGCAGCCGAGTGGACAGCGTTCTGGGGACGTAGTCTTAAGGGCCCTAGTTCGATTCACGGTCGAGACAGAAACAAATGGGGCACAGTTTCGTTCATCTGATGCCACTGTTCAAGTAGCAGTAAATAGGTATCTGGGAGTTAGACAGCTGCTACGGACTGCATCCTGGGGATGTGCGCGCAAGATAGAAATTTGTAGTAGATATGACAGATGAAAAATAGGTAGGGAGTCAGTACATTAGACAGCCGACGGTTAGAAAGGCGGGGTCCAAGAGCTAAACGGGTCGATCCTGCCAGCACACACGGTAAATAGAGGCACACAGTGGCAGCCAGGAGGGCAAAAGGCACTACGGGCTCACCATAGCCCGTGCTACTTGGAACTTTGTTCCAGGTAGCGAATCTTTAAGAACAACAACAACAGGAGGGCAATCCACCCGCTTTCACAACTTACTGTATTTCTCTGGAGACAACTTCACCTCTCCTCTCTCATCCACCTACACTACCCCTTCCCCCCATCCCCCCCCCAAAAAAAAGGGGGTAGCATTGGGCGATATAATACAAAACAGTAATAAACAGTCATTATTAATGTAGCCATAACAATAGATATTAATAAAAAAAAAGGCACTAGCCATTGAAAAACGGCCATTCTGACCCAGTTCCATAAATTACTAACTTATATTCCATTCTTTAGTGCTCACAATGAGCGTTTCAAAGCAATAAAAAAATGATGAAAAATTCAAACTGCCTTGTTTAAACGTGCACACGAGATGAGGCCCACTGCCTCACCGTCATGCAATGTTTTGTGTACTAATACGCGTATTTAGTTTTGGCTATACCTGAATGTGGGGCAGGAACATCACTCCCACTACCACAGTACACAGTGGGAACACACTAACAGGGAGTGTACCCACTGAAGGGAACCCACTGAAGGGAACCCACTGCAGGGAACCCACTGAAGGGAACCCACTGAAGTAGGCGTGAGCATGTCACGCCTACAAGCATCATCCCCCCCACACCTTACTGAGGTATTTATCTATACGCAAACGAGAGCAGAGCCCCGCTCTTGTGCCAGGTAAGTCCACTACGGGCTCACCATAGCCCGTGCTACTTGCCCCGCTCCTGTGCCAGGCAAGTCCACTACGGGCTCAATATAGCCCGTGCCACTTACCCCTCTCCTGTGTCAGGTAAGTTACAGGCTCACTATAGCCCGTGCCACTTACCCCTCTCCTGTGTCAGGT